GGCTCACTGCAACCTCTGCCTCCCGGGTTCAAGCGATTCTCCTGCCTCAGCCTCCCAAGTAGCTGGGATTACAGGTATGTGCTACCACGCCTGGCTAATTTTGTATTTTTGGTAGAGACAGGGTTTTTCCATGTTGGTCAGGCTGGTGTTGAACTCCTGACCTCAGGTGATCTGCCCGCCTCAGCCTCCCAAAGTGCTGGGGTTACAGGTGTGAGCCACCACGCCTGGCAACAATTTTTGTCTTAAAGTCCATTTTGTCACTATTGGTATGGCCACTCCAAGTTGTCATGCTTGCTGTTTGCATGGTATTTTTTTTTGCATCCTTTTCCTTTTAAACTCTTTGTATCTTTAAAACTAAAGTGTTCTCCTGTAGACAACGTATAGTTGGATCTTGTTTTGTTGTTTTTATCCAGTTTCACAATCTCTGCCTCTTAATTTGATTATTTAATCCATTCTCATATGATTTTATTACTGATATGCTTGAATTTACTACATCTACCATTTTGCCATGTGTGTGTGTGTGTGTGTGTGTGTACACAAAAAAAATAAAAAGAGGAACAAAATAGTCATTATGTATGTGTGTGTATGATTACTTTGTTCCTCTGTTCCTCCTTTATTTGAAAATTTATTTTTGTAAATGATCTGAGGTGGAGGTTGAAGTCCAGGTTGTTAGCTAACTATGCTAGCACTCTTTTTAAAAACTGTCATTTTCTACTGAATTGCAATACCTCTGTATTATATATATTATTCTCATACATAGTTTGATATATTTATGAAATTTCTATTATGTTCTATTCATGTATCAGTCTTCTCTTGTCAATATCTGTTGTTTTATCTCAGTAATTTAATGATACATTTAAATATCTGGTATAGTAAGTTCTTCTTTATTTGCCTTCTTTTCAAATGATTGTTCATGTGAATTTTTGGCATTCAAAAGAAAATACTATTTGTAATCCTTTTAAAACTTCACAAAATGCATGTGTGCATGCACACATACATATACATTCACATATAGATACATATGCATATGTTTACCATCTAGTAGTGATATGTGTGAATCTAGGCAACTCATTTAAAGTAAAAATTCATAAATAGTAATGTTGCACATTAAAATGAAACAAAACAGGATGATTTATGTTACTTTCACCTAATTATTTTTTTCTTTACATAGAGTGAGTACTATGGAAAACAGTGCCATCAAGATATTAAGAGAGAGAATGATTTCACGAAAAAGTGACCTCATTCATGCTTTCCAACATCAAGACCGCAGAAAATCAGGTAATAAAATTGTGTAACACTTACCGTTTCTTAACACACCAAGTTACATACAGATCACTTTTCATTTTCTTTGCTTCCTTAGGATGTCAGTTCTCCATTTTTACTAAGAAGGAAGAATAGAGATAAAAAATATATAATCCATTATTTGTGCAAAAAAAGGCACATTTCTTCCTTTTAGCAAGCTATTTTCAATTTGGAAAACTAACACCAACCCTGAATTAAACTTCTATTCTGATAGTATGCTAGACTAGACATTCTGGGGGGCTTTCCTATTAACAGACAGCTAGATCCTGGAGGATGCAGAATTTAATGCATTTACCAGCCTCATAGTAAGGTGACTCTTCCAGCTGCATCTTCACTCTCCATGAAAGATGATTTGAAACCACATGTGTGAGCATGGAGCAACAAGAAAACACAAAAGGCTAGATTGTCCTGGGGCCCAATGCTGATATTGGTATAGCAATCAATCCTGAGACTAAATTATAGTATAGTAGAAAGATGGAAAAGCTGCATTTGAGACCTCCATTATCATGCTTGCACCCTCAAAGTGGCTAAAGTTGTCCTAGGTCTGTAATGCTCCCTGGCTCCTGGCAAGCAAATGCAAATTTATGTTTGAGGGAAGCATCCCCAGTTTTGGCCACTCGTATATCCAGAGATTAAGATCAACTCACATGAGCTCACAATAAAAAATTACCAAACAAGGATACAAACTACCGTGAGTGAAAGTCAGCAGAAACAACAGTTAGTTCCCTGAGGACATCAGATATTAGAATTATCAAATAAAAAATATGTTCATAGGAACTATGAAATCATAAACATGCATTTGGGAATGATTTGAAGAAGAACTAAATAGATAGAAAATATACTTGTTAAAAAAAGAAAAAGCATAATGGATCGGTTAAACAGAAGATTAGACACTACTCAAGAAAGAATTAGAGAGATTAGGAGTTATAAACAGGC